GCTAATTGCTTGTCGCCCGGGTGACAATTCACTTAAACCAACCAACCAACCTTCATCACCTGGTTTTCCATAGGGGAAGATACCTTCCTATTTTTCTGTTACTTGCATCTCCAGCTGCATTGTATACTTTCAGAGCTGGAACTTTTCTGTCCATTCGTACGACATGGTCAAGCCAGCGTAGCCGCACTACGTCTAAATCGTTGTAATTCTCTTCCATCGGCTGCGGTATTCGCCGTCACTAATGCGCAAAGGTTCGTAAATCTTTCGCAGAATCTTTCTCTCGAAAACTCCAACTCCTCTTCAGATGCTTTAATTGTTCATGCTTCTGCGCCATACACCAGCACGGCCATTATGATTGACTTGTAGAGTGTGATTTTTGTACGACCAAGTAAGACTTTACTTCTCATTTACCTACTCAGTCCAAAGTAAAGTTTTGTGTCAAGAGTGATTCTCCGTTGGATCTTAAGGGTGACACTGTTACTGGTGTTAATGCTGGCGCCTATATAAACGAAGTTGCATACTTTTGGAAATTATATCTGTCAACCGTGCCGTGGGTGCCGAGACGTGTATGCTCTGAGTGTTTGTCTGATCACAGGTGATACTTCGATTTGTCCTCATTCACCAATCAAATATATTTGCGGAACCATGGACCAAATATAGTAGAACTGTATTTTTAGATTAGAGAAAATCCTATAGAATTAAACCGGATAAAATTTTTTGGTGCATAAGGACGATTGGGTATTGAAAATGTCCTTTTAAAATTGTATCCTTGAATTTTCTTAAAATTATTTTTTTATTATCATTATTTTTGGGAAAACTATATGTTAAGGACTAATATACACTAGATAACTTCTTCAAATCTCGTCGTTATAACTTTGTTAACATAAAAAATGGATTGAAAGGACATTTTCAACACCTATTCGTCGTGGTGAACAAAAACATGTTTTTTTAATTCTACAATAATATCTTAATATCTTGCTATATAATGGAGCGAAGGAGGAAATACATACATACAATATATTCATTCCATTCATAAAAATTTTATTTGTTATATAAACATACATATGCACATTAGGGTGGTCCAAAATAAGTAAAGACGGAATTTTAATGCCCTCATCTCATAGGATTGTTCTATATCGAAAAAATATACCCCTTTTTTATTTTGAAATCAAAAAATATTTAAAGGTCGCTCAAAGCGCTCAAAATTCTATGTATTTTATGACGGAAAAAACAACTTTTCGTAGAAATGATAAAGAGTTCTTCAAAATAAATATTTTTCGATCGGAAAACTCTGGTTCTCTTCAGGAGACTTTCAATAACAGTACCCACTATTTTATTTGACAATTTTTTGATACTAAAGATTTTTTATTTAGGGTGGTTTTGGCAGACCTAAAAAAAATATAGTTACTATAAAAAATGGTTAAATAAATAATTGGGTATTTTCCGATCGAAAAATGTTGATTTTCAAGGATTCTTTACCATTTATACGAAAAGTGTTTTTGGACCACCCTAATGTACATATATACATACATGCATATGAGCATAATTATGCATAAATATGAGGTGTCACATAACATTATTATGCCATTGCACTTGTACTCACAAATATTTGGTTGAAATTGAAAAGTCCATTTACCTTTTAAGCATACATACTAACAAATTGCAGTGTAAGCAATATTTAGCAATAAATAGGTATAATGTTTAGAATAAAGTCAAAGTTTGATATAGGAAATAAATTTTTCCACTTCTTCTCTCGTATGGCTTGTAAACCTTTTATGCAATTTTGGGCCGTAGCTTTAGTGAAAATAAGGTCCAAGGAAATTTCGATCTTCATTTTATACTTTTATATGTATGAATGTATTACGTACAGATTGAAATAAAAACTAGAATAAAACAAAAAGATTTATTTGTCCTGAATTCGAAAAAGTATTTGTGAAGAGCGAAAAAACTGCATTCAAAGTAACTCCCGGCAAACAAAATGAAAACAATTAACAATTACTTAACATTAATTATTAGCGAGGTTTATACCTATGTACATACATATGTGTATGTATAAAATAAAAAAATAATTGAAATCTTTCTCTCGAATAAAAATTTGGGAACTGAAGTTCCAGTAACTTTCTGACAGAGAACGAAACGGAAACAAATTTTCTCTGATTTTTTTGCGAAGAATGGAAGCGAGCAGAAAATTTTTCACATGGCGTTCGTTGGTTTGAAATGTTTGAATATTGAAATTAACCAAAAAATAACCGAAAAATAACTATGCAAATTAAGTCAACGAAAGACTTAAGACACGAACGTTTCGTGCACAAAAAATTAAAAAATTAATCTATAAATGGACAGTTCACCCTAATGATAAAGGATCTGGAAATTGAAATGATCAAAATTTCTGAACGTTCCCAGACTTTTCTTCTTATTTGATCCTCCTTGAAAACGTTCCCGATACTTTCGCACTATTAGTTCTCATTGGTAATGTTCCCGAAAGTTTCTTTCTCATTCTGTTCTTCTTGAGAACGTGTTCTAGAGTTTTGCTCTAGAATGAGTTGTCCACGACCAACTGCATTTGCCCCACTGTGCACACAGTGTGGACAATTAACTCTTTTTTTTTTTGCTAAAACTTCAAATATCTCGAGAACGAGAACTTGAACAGATAGTAAAATAAATGTAATAGCAGTTTAAACGTTTTGAGAAGAACTGCTTGGGAAAAATTGTCTCGTTGGATAATAAAATTTGCTTGACGACCTACAAAAATAGAAAACAATCATATTTATTCTTTTCGGTTTTAATGTCAACGAGACTTTTTTCCTGAATTTCCCATCTCATAAGGTTTAAAATACCGTCACATTTATTTCACTATCTGTTCTCGTTTTTTATTCACAAAATATCAACATACAAACGTACATATTTCCGTATGTTAACTTTCTGATGGTAATTGAAGCTTTTGTTTGATCACATTACATATTCACGCAAGTATGTTAGCCATGCAAAATTATACATTTGTACGATGAAATACATCCATGCATCGGCGTAGCCAGAATGAAATTTAGGGGGGGGGGGGGGGGGGGGGG